AATAAATAAATAAATAAATACATACATACATACATACATACATACATACATACATACATACATACATACATACATACATACATACATACATACATACAACTAGTCACATGAGATGTTTCAGGAAAACACAGTATTGTTTAATCAGAACCTGATAACATGAGAAAATGAAATGTGGGAAATATTATGGATTTAGGGCAGGCTGATTTGTATTTTTCCTGTTGAGCACATGACACAATGGAAATGTGAATTAACCCGGAGTCCTATAGACCCAATCCACAGTTTTTCCTCCCTTCCAGAGACCCTTCTATTTTCTATGGGTCGAATCCTTTCACTTCAGTTGAAAGTATACAATCACTAAGGTTGAGCCAAGGCAGAAGGGAAAGCCCAATTGAGCTTGTGCATACAACAGATAAACCAGTGCTTTGGCAAAGCATCTTCCCCCTCGCCTCTTGATTCACACTCACACAGCACACTTTTAAAAGGAGCAAAGAATCCTAGGGTTCGTTTGGCAAGAGTTTCTTTTTAAAAAAAACTAACAACTACATGAGGAAACTGAAGTAGGAAGCCTTATACTGTTTGACAGGCAGTTCTTTATAATGGCAGCACCTGCTGGGCTACACACAGAGCAGAAAGGAAAGGGGAAGTAGGGGTAGGCTCTCTCTTGCTTTCTGTGGGGCCACTTAAGTCACACAGACCCAAATTCCCTGGTATGACTTCACAGCAAGTGAATTTTCATTTCCCTGTGTAGTCCCACCCTCAGTCACTTCAAAGCCAACACATTTTACCTTTGACAAGCATCCTTTTGTCCCCAAGGAGAGGGAAGGCAGCCACAGGCTAACAAGATGAATATCCAGGAAAAGAATTACAAAGCATAATCATTTAGAATCAAGATGGCCAAGTAGCAGGTCACAGGCTACATTCAATACCAAAAGCAAATTTCAACCACAGTACAGTATGCTGCAACATTTCTTCGCATTCACGTCAAAGAACATATTAACCCTGTCTGATGTGCACTCTGGAAGGGTCAGAAGACTAATGCCAAATAATGTCTTTATACCACTGAAGCACTGATACAAAGGAACTGCCCCAAGAAAGACATTCAGCATAGTCAATTTCAGCACATTGCTCTACAGTATTTGCATTAAAGCAACACCAGAGAGAGGAAAACACTACCTGGTTGTGAAAATACAGGTCTCAACTGTGTTCATGTGGCCCTCGGCCAGATGGGTGGTATAAAAATTAATTAATTAATTAACTGAAGCTAGCAAAGGAACAAAATCCATTTACAACATCTTTGAACTGCTAAGGTAATTTTCAAAACAGAAAATGAGACTCAAGTAAAAGAGACAAAAGAAGACAGTAGTTTAAACCCTGGCTTGATGGCATTCTGAGAAGACATTCAATTTCTTTATGGTTATTAACAAACCTCAAACTTCAGGTCATAAACATTATTAGTGAAAAAGCATTTCCCCCCCCCCAAAAAAAAACCCTAAAAATCAGGGCCAATATTTTTATCAGATGAACACATTATCACCAGCAAAACCTTCAGTCTCCGAGTTCCCCCAGATAATTTTATCAGGCTGGGTAATACAGAACCTGGGCTATCTGGAGAAACAGAGAAGTTCCAGAGTTATGCCAGCCACATATAAAAACTGCACAATTTAAAGTCAAACTAAAGTCCCAAGATAGAAACTAAGATTTAAATAGTGTGAAGTGTACCGTCATCAGGTTTTGCCTCTGTAGATGTAGCCTTGATTGCCTTGTCCATCGCTCCTGTCACTACAACCCTTATCTGACTCTACAGGGATGAGAAAGGACAACTAGAGTCCAAAGAATATAACGTACAATTATTTTCAAGTCACAAATTCCAGTGATAGGCAGCTATTTTCTCAATGGAAGTGGAAAATCATTTTTAACATGACACTGGCAGCAGAAAAACTACTCAGTGGTATACCGTAAATATAGTCATTTATCATCTGAACCACAATCAAATTTTTGATTGATTGAAATAACTGGTGTAATGAACAGTATACTTAAAGAAAAATGTGTATGCCCTATAATCTGATTGTCTAAACACAAACTTATTCTTCTGTAGTTTCTTAAAAAGGAAGTGAAACAAATTTATTGTGGATAGAAGCTTATTTTGAGGACAACCAACAACCAAGATTGACTCTCTTCTCCTAGCTCTGTGTAAGCAGCTAGCACAGCATAATAGTCCAAAGAGCCTAATATGACACCAGCAATTCTGTTTAAATGCAAATTGTGCTGAGCAAAGGTACCAGGGTTGGAATGCTGGTAAAGTAACCAGTCACATACCGTTCGTTCACTGAGGTCTATTAATAGTTCCCAA